TCACATTCATACCCTCCCCCGCTTCCCCCCTCCCCCCCTCCCCCTCTCCTGACAGATTCACGCAGACAAGTATGAGCTTGCCAAGTGCGATATTCTCTCCCACAGGCGAATAGAACACTCTTCGTTGGATATTCCTCAATTATGCAGTCCCGTGAGTAACGGAGGCCGAAGGTATCGATGACATAGATGGCTTGGACACGATTAGAGCCACGTTACACACCCAAAGGGGGTATCTGTAGTATCTGAAGTGTATAGACCACTCTGAAGGTTTTCTTGAGCTAGATTTTAGCTTCTTTCTCAAAGGAGCCTCGGTATTGTTGTCAACTGTGGGGCCATCTCTTTCTGAGTCAGCAAGGAGTTTCACCTTCCGATACCGCTGACACAAAAAAGAAGAACATCCCAGTAATCTGGAGCATCTGGAGCATCATCACCATGGTTCGATGTGGGATAACCAGGGCACGTTGTACATTGGGGATTCCAGGAAGGTACATATTTGGGTCGTTGGAGGGAGGATGGGGGTCGTAATTGCCTTTGAGAAAATTGTTCACGCCCATTTCCCCCTTAGGATTTTCTGACGAAACATGAAGACTTTTCGGAAAAATTCCGGAAAAAAATGGGCGAACGCTGGGAACATTCAAAAAGATTAATGAGAGAATGGGGATGGGGAAAGGAGGAGGATTCGTACCAGAAAAAGAGTTCGATGTCCGGCATTTTGCTTGAAATTCCCACCAATGGTAGGAGATGCTCTCATAATAGCATATAGTGAAGAGAACGAAACAAATCAAAGATTCACCTCTTTGTTGCCCGGATCCCGAATGAAGCAGATGACTCCTACTTTCATATCCGTCCACATGTTATTCTCGGCTTGCAACAGCTGGCATACTCCAGTACATAGAGCCTGAATTTGGTTTCATCAAGGTACTATCATCACTAGATGCCCATCATCGGTCGGTCGTTCATTGACCATTCACCCTAACTGTATTAGCATCCTTCAAAATCGCCAAGATTTTGGCCAGGGACTAAAAGGTGCTTGCAGAAGAGGGCAAGAAGGCGCTGAAGGGGCCTACAAAGGACTGCTTGTGGGATCACGTTATCCGAATAGAGTTCTAATTTTTGAAGCATACAAGTTTTGCCCACCGGAGCTCCTTCTCCTCTTAATGTCAAGGCGAAAGTCCTGTAGTACCTACATACTCGCTAAGTTATTCTGATTTTGCGTGAGGTCTTTTAAATTCTCCCTGATGTCCCAGTTATAAATGGCGATCATACAGGTCGGAAGTGTCGCTTAGTAAAGGAAAATTTGGTCCAGAATTCAGGTCAAACTGTTCCAGGACTCCTTTCCCAACCTAATATTTAATAAACAGTTTACAATAACTGTTGGATCCTGTCTGTAGTGCTATCAGTACAATACATAGTACATAATGAGAGCTATTGTTCTATGGTTTTAGCTCCACTAAATCCTAAATGGTATCGTCGAATGTGCTTGTTCAGCATGACAATGTTTACACAGCGGGTATGACACCATCGGGTTAAGGACGCAGAGCTGAACTGGCATATTACACGGCTACCGACTATTTGAACAGGGATAAAAATGAATATATAAGAATTAGGAAGTTACCAAAAACTTAGGAAGATGGTAGATGGAATGGGGGAAAGGGATGGGGAGGTCGTACGGGAGGAAGGAATTTGTTTGGAGAAGTGGGCCATACGGGGAAAATTGCAACTGACACCGTCAGTTCTTCAATCCTGACGCTGTACCCTGGTTACGACCTCGTCAACGGGGAGGTTCTTGTTCATCTATGGCTCTTCCCTTTGACGTCAGTGCTCCAGAAAATGTCGCCCACGACGGGAGAGGCTGCCAGCACTTACAACCTCTCCAATCGAAAAATATCTAGTCCCCAGGCCCCTCTTGAGGACTTAAATATGCCCTTATCGAGGTGGATCAACCCTGTTAGCAGCTGCGTGAAGTTCAACCAGGATGAATCTATCATTAAAGACAAGTCAAAGAGCCTCAGGTCTACTCCAGTGAACAAGTACTGTAGGGTTTCTAGACCGTCTCGAATTTTATACGAGTCACCTCGAAATCAAAGCAAAAACTCGAACTAACCTTGGCGGATGGCTGAAGTGATGAGAGAATGCTTCGTTGTTCGGCTTCAGTCAGGTGACTAGAAATGCGATTTTCACGTGCCCTGAAAGGAACCAACGTTCAGTCGAAGCATAAATCAACATCTCAATGAAAACTTACACTTTCTGCTGCTTTCCACCTTCATTATTACCCATGACGCCATTTCGGGTGCCTATCGTCATGGGCCCGACGTAGCTGGCTTGTTCAGAGTTGTAGAAGAATGACTCTGAACCGAGAGCAATCACTCACTAAGTCAACAGTGTAGGTGTCTGGGAGACAGGATAGAGGCGGAGAGGCGGTACCGCCTGGCAGCACTGCCTGGAGTTTACTGAGAATTCCTATAATAGACTGTTAGTGCGGTTGTTATAGGAAATGCTGGTGTGGAGGAAGTCTTTCCACGGCCGGACACCACTAGCTGGCTGCTTCGTGAATTTTATGGCTGACTCAGCTCACCCGGACCGCCGTCGGGTGACGTAGGCTAGCCGGCCGTTGCGACAGCTACAGAATTGTACTAGCTGCTAACTTCATTCAAAAGACAGAGCTCATGGGGTTCAGGAAGACTCGGCAGAAAATAAGCTATCTTGAGGCTC